TAGTTCACGAGTCGACTGGCTGGGCCCTGGTCGACACCGGGCGGATGGATCAGATCGTGCAAGACATGAGCCATCCGACCACGCAATACCCATCTCTAGTGTATTTCCACCACCGCTGGAGACAATCCATGTTACTTGGGGAGGGAGATAGCGACGGGTCTCAATGACTTCAACGTTGAAGGGATGAGTCGGAAGCTCATTTTGCAGCGTTTCAGTTCCCTACGGCAGTCAGTAAACACGAAACACAGACTGTCGTCCAAGAAGAGAAGATTGCTGGCAGGACCCCTCGCAATTAGGTGGCGGGCGTAATGCGCCCAGCGCCCTCCAGAGAGATTTGACACTAGTAACGAGTGGGTACCAAGAGTATTGCACTGCAAAATTCAGTGGGACATGGAAGGCGCGAATGTATTCCATCATGATGATGTTTTGTTCACGGAGAGACGGCCCGAAATTCAAGAGCAAGCCAGGACAAAACACGATGATTTCCCACAGCTTTTTATCGTTGCAAAGACAGTTGGACGGGTTCAACCAGATTATAATTCTTTTGATGATACGATGGAATGTGCACTGGAACTTCAGAAGAATGTCAGTACCAGACCAGCTGGTCCTCGACGGGTGATGTTGTTCTGGGGGAACAGTGAGCGGAGTGCCGACACGCGATTTGCATTGCCTAGGAAATTTTATTGGCGTGATAAACGGCACTACCGTCCTGAAGAACCCATGCGTTGCTGGAAATATGAAAAGCCTTGAAATCGAAGCCCAGCTCCTAGAGGCTGTGGGGGATCATCCTCGAATCATCGCATCCTACGGACTGACCGAACATGGACTTATACTGGCATATGCCCGCAATGGGAGTCTTTATGAGTATATTGACTCGAAACCATCAATATCCCTATGGCAAAGGTTACAATGGTGCAGGCAAGCTGCCGAAGCCGTGGAACACATTCATCAAAGGAACATTATTCACTGTGATGTCAACCTCCGAAACTTTCTACTTGATGATAATCTGGACCTTCTTCCTGCGGACTTTCAAGAAATGCTTAAGACTGAGGATGGTGCAACACTATTAGATGGCCTTTCCAGGGACTGCTCTAAGTCCTTCGCACCCAGGTCACACACGATTAGGATGGAATTAGACGTTCCGTAGAGGTAACTTCATAGACGGTGTTGAGTACGCTGCTTCAAGCGAAGCCCATCCAGTTAATCATTGACCTACAAAAGTTAGGACCCGGAAAACACAATCACAGCATCAGGCCCGCATCGACGCGGCTGGAGTTCGCTGCGGCCTCGACCGAACATTGTAGGACCTCGTTACCGACAACAGACCAGGGAAAATTCCAGAGGGCCTCGTCGGCCAGTGATTTGCCACGGGACATCTTCGCAAAATACGGTATTGTGTGGATGAAACGTAGAAGGCCATAAATCTGCACGACACGGTTCTGCGCGTCGGAGACACTGAGTAGCAAATCCATCTTGTCTTGACGGTGTGCATAATCCCAGCGGAGGATCCCACCTGGAACTAACATCCTCCCTTCACCACAAGCATTATCGGCACGGGAAAGGTCAAAGGCTAACGCGGCACTCGCGAAGGCGATGTGAAAACTGGTACCGAAGCCTGCAAGCAACACCAACTCCGGACGATAAGTAGCGCCCGCGTTGCAGAAGTTTAGATGCGTTCGTGGAAACCCTGCATAAACCTGTAAGCCAGAGACGCCCTGGATCGGGACCCTGACAAAGGTCGTTCCGCCACGCATTTCCCCGTGCGGGTCATCATGCGATACAGCTAACATGCGAGGAACCTCCTGCTGAAATACCCAGTCGCAGGCTCCGTCATCGATGCTGCATTTGAGGACTCTTAGAGGATGAAGGCTGTAGACAAAGTGAAGGTCGGTCATTGGGGCTCTGCTAATACCGTCATCGCCGTCGCTGTCGTCGTCATTGTGAAAGAATGGCGCCCAGTTCTTCTCGGCCGGCTTTCGCTCCTCCCCTCGAATCGTGAGCACGGCCGTCATGTCGGAGAATGGCCTGTATAGCCACATTGCGCGCGGGTTCCCAGGAGCGTTCAGAATCATATTGAACACTATGATTGGCTCAGCGCCTTCCGCATTTTCTAGTATGACTCGCGGATCTTCTGGGCCAAAGAAGCTCCCACCTTCCCACCACACCGCGGGGATCCGAAAGAAAGTAGGAAACGTTATCTCTCGGTCTGCCCAGGAAACGCTGTAGTTGTCCATGTGTTTCCAGTTCTGGTCGAATATTTGGCCTCTCAAGAAGCTCATTGCGGGCCAGTCAGTGCCGGGCCTGGTATACACGACGCGGGAGACAACGAAGTACACTTGGAGCGGGGGCAGCCAGACACCTGATCCCGCAAACTGAGACCAATACTTGTTGCTCCATGTCACTTGACTATGTTGGCCTGGATCTTCAGCCGACAAACTGTGCCTAATCATGGGATGGTGTATTAAAGATTCGGAGATTTCGGTGAGATTAGTTGGCAGAGGAAAACTTTGCTGGCTGTCCACCTTCCCTGTGTGCCGCGTACTCTCACAGTCGAGCATGTGGAGATTTCCGTGGTTGCAGAATCCGGGAAGCTCTATTGTGTGGAGATGCGTGGGATGCTGTAATGGACGCATATCAGT